ACCAACGAGACACTCTCATAAACAGAACCCTCACTCTCTACGACTGGGACGATACCTTCCTTCCTTCAACCTATCTGGCGGCTCAAGGCCTTCGCGTCGAGGTCGATGACGAGCTACCAGAAAGTCTCGTCGACGAACTCTGCCGCTTGGAAGATATCGTCATTAAGATTCTCCAAGAAGCTCTTCGATATGGAATTGTCAAACTAATCACCAACGCAGAGCAAGGTTGGGTAGAACTATCAGGTCATCGTTTCATGCCAAGATTAACAAAGTTTCTGAAGGACAGCGACATAAAGATTGTGTCTGCCAGGACCACCTACGAGGCGGATATCCCAGGCTCCCCCTCGGGATGGAAGACGGCTGCCTTTGCTGCCGAGGTCTACGAATCCTTCCCAGACGTCTCCCAGATCAACGTTCTTGTTCTGGGAGACAGTCTTAGCGAAAGGGAGGCCGCGCACGCTTTGGCGCACCGTCTCCCCACTGCATGCATCAAGAGTGTCAAACTCGTTGAACACCCTGATGTCACCCAGCTCCAACGCCAGATCACCCTTCTGCACGGCTCTTTCCGTGATTTGCGTGAGCACTATGGCTCGTTCGATGTGAATCTTACGTGCTGATGTCTAGCCGCGCATCCAGCCGTGTAGTGCGACCACACACGTTGTACATGCCGGTCTTGGGGCCTTGGGAAGCTCAGGCGCAGTGTTTTCCTTTTGACTTGCCGAGCGCTTATTACTTGTACAGTCATCTGTTTGTCAGTCATTCACTTCGTAGAATCAACACGGTATCTCTCTTTCGTGAGGGTCTACCCCGGTAGGAGGATTGCGAGCGAAAGTGCTTCTCTCGTGTCCAACCTCAACCCGCACACCCCCTTCCAGTATGTAGAGAAGTGGACATACGATCTCAAACCTGCATGCCCCACAACGGTTGCCGCAACATGTAAGGCCAATCACACTGCGGGTGCACACACAATCCTGTAGGCTTATGTAACTAAACAAGCATATTAAAACCACTTGCCGCCAGGAGCGGCCTTCTTTTTTCCTCAATATGTCGCCCGTGTTGATTTCACTTCATGTCTTTCCCTTTCGAGTGGCGTTGTAGCGTTTTTGCTTTCTGCGAAGAAGACGAGTTTCAGACAAACGCTAGACCAAGCGAAAAGGCCAGCACAGGTGACTTGAAAGTGAGAGATCGAAGGTCCACCGCAGCCGCCGTCTTGTTCTTCCCTGCTTTGCGAATTCATCATATTCATCATCGCTGCTCGACCCTCAACTGCAGTCTTCTCGCCGGGAAAGAGCATCGACGGCCCACCGCAGCCCGCCGTCGTGTTCTTCCTTGCCGTGCATATTCATCATAGCTGCTCAGCCCTAAACTGCTGTCTTCTCGCCGGGAAAGAGCAAACATGCAAGGCAATGGGCAGCAAATACGAATTGGTGCACTGAAGAGCGTGCAAAGATCTTGGTCAGCAAGGACGCAAAGAAGCAAGCCAGCGACATGAAGCACCGGCAAGCGCCATAAGAGCAGGCGAATTCCGGAAGGGTATCGACATGGTGCGAGCTGTGCAACCCGAGGTGCGCAAGACTGGGCGCGGTGAAGAAGGTAGAAGCGGGTGTGGACGATGATCTCAGGAAGCTCTTGTCAAATGCCGCCTTGAACTCCAACCCTGGGACGCCGGTGGCCGCCGAGCGTCGCCGTTAGCACATAAGACAGGCCCCTGTTCCGCCTCTCGTGTCGATCTGGATTGCGCGCTTTGTCGTCTGGTGCTCAATGAGCGACGCTAACCCAGAACCCATTTCGGGTGCTCCCGCGAGCAACTACCACAAACGTGTCATACGGTCCCTCAACTCATCTTCTCGATACACGTGTGCACGCAGCAGTCAATCGCGCGCCTTGCCCTACCCGCCCAACCCCCCCCCCCCCCCCCCCC